AACAAAAAAAAAAAAAACCAAAACAAAAAAAAAAAAAAAAACCCTGCTATTTCAGATTAAAGTTTTAAGCATAAGGAAGAACTTGAGAAACTATGTGAAATGACAGAAATGTCTGGACGAAATGGTTCTGTCATCTTGGGGGTAAGATGAGGCCCAAGGCAGGAAGTATTGTACATTACTGAACAAAACCTGATATGAAGAATTCCTGAGAAAAGACAATTGGGATTCCATTATCTGAGATCCTAAGAGGAAATATTGTTCTAGTGACATGGAAGGAAGGCTCTTAAAACAAAATCCTGATACATTCAATGATAAATAGGAAGATATCAAAATTCAGTGAGACACTTTAACAAGGCATTCTAGAGCTAAAGACTTTTAGTTAGGGTTTCATTATCAGGCTGAATGGACTGGAGTTACTGCTAGATAGTACTGTGTGCTATTTGTACAATGGTTGATATATATATATAAATTACTTTAGTAAAGTCATGAGGGTTGGCTTGTCAAATTTCTACCTTCCTCAAATCTCTCAAGGATAACCAATTTGTCCTTGAGTGACAGAATCAAAATATTTTCAAGAAGACTTCAATGAGTAAAATAATGGGATGAGAAAAAGAAGGTAAAAGTTTCAAAAAAAAAAAAATGTAACACCTACACTTGGATTCAAAAATAACTTCCAGTGATGCGGAATTGGATCTCTCTGACCTATGAGAACGTCAGGTGAGTCAGATTTAAGTAGTCCTATACAGGAGGTGTCCTGTTTAACATTTTTATCCCTTTCAATTTCTGTGTCTCTGAGAGCCTATTCATCATTTTGTTATTAAATGCTATATCTAGTCTGAGAGTAACAACTGATGTGACATTGTCCATGTGAAATGCTCACATTCATAAAGTTCCACTTTGGACAGAATCACCTTGGAACTACAAGCTCTTGCATTTACACTAACAGTGGTTTAAGTTACTCTTGTCATAGTATTTTTATTATTAGAAAGTTTGTAAATACTTCCTTCTACATAACTTTGTCCAGCTCTTTGGTTTCAGAAGTTTGCTATACGCATCATATATTGGAAAATGTTGATATCTGCCCAACATATAAAATTCCATGCAGGATATATGATGTGAGCCATTAGAGGCATCTTCAATCTGAAGCTTCAGACAGGTCAGAAGTACTGTTTGATATTTATTACCCTTTATAAATCTGCATAGATAACTCCAAAAGGGTGAAAAGATATTTAGGGTCAAAAGAAAATGCTGTCAGAAAATATTTTGAACCTAAAAAATTAGATCTAGGATTGTGCTACATAATGCACTAAACATAAGTTGAGTACTGTTCTGAATTCGGGATTTAAGCTTTTCATTTATTTATTACTATTTTTGTTCATAGGGAACTTGGTAGTTCACTTCCATGGCAGGAATATTACACATTACCATATTGTTAATACTGAAACCTAAGTCCCTAAAGAGGGGTCAAATTGGTGTTGTGGTTTGGGGGAAGGGACTACTCTGTTCTCTCCCCCATGGCATTAGCTAATACTGCATTAGAATTCCAAGCTTGAACCATGGAACAGTCTTTGATGTTAACTCCTAGGTTTCTTTGAAGCCAGCGATTGTATCTTATTTATATTAGTACTGATTGTAGCACCTTTTGGAGTTCACTGCACAGCATCAGTGGGAACTGACCGGTGTCTACATGTGAACAATTACAGGTTTTCCATATGAATTTTCTTATAAGAAAACAGAACACACACATTGTTAATCTGTAATATGTTAAGTGTGTAAAATCAGCATGAGCACTCCATGTGCCACAGTCAAATGTTAATGCAGGTTATAACAGATGTGGGTTTGGTTTGATCTTTAAGGGAACTTGGGGGGAAAAAGGAATTTAAAAAATCTGTCTTACCATACAGGTATTTTCCTTCATTAAAAGCAAAAAAAAATTTAAAAAATTAAAATATAATAACATTTGGGAGACAGATAGTAACAATGAAATCATTTAGCATTAGACTTTAGAAATTCATACCTGTTATTGTGAAGCCACCTAAAAAGGAAAAAAATAAATAAATGTTAGGATTTAACTTACACTCTAAATAACAAATACTAGTGACATCAGACTGCCTGACAACCCACCCAAGCTATAAAAACTTACCAAATTACATTTACAACAAAGAAAAATATGAAAACATCTGTTCATAATGGAATAATTAATTATTCTTTTAAGATTATGGGCCTTAGTGCACAAACTTCATTCTTGTGCATACCTTAGATATCATCGATTTTTTAAAAGGTTATACTAAATTAAAAATGTAGTATAAATTATTTGACCTTAACAACAATGAGGCCAATGGCCCGAAACAACAATCTTGCTAGCAAATCAATAGAGATAAAAGACAAATCAGAGAGCAGCTCTATCTCCTGACAGAAAGGGAAAATAACCTAGAAAAATGGAAAGGAAATGCAAGAAATGAAGTGCTTACCAAGCTCATTCAATAACAGGGCTGTGAAAGAAACAGACAAAGACAAACACAGAATAAGAGACCAAATGAATAATGAAAGTAAGAGGAATATCAGCAGAAAGAAATCCAGGTAGATTTGATTAGCGTGGTAGGGAACCACTGTTAAAAAAATTGGTGCACCACGAGGAATGTGAAAATTTAGAAATATTTCTAAACAAACAATCCTAGCAGAATTTCTGCAAATGTGTGTGAAATACAAATATATATTTTCAAATACACACATACATAATTCACCTTGTATATCATTTCTGAAGATATTTCTACTATATATGTTCAGCTGTACATAATGCATTTATTTAGTTTACCAAGTATAGTAGAAACACTGTGTAAAGCTAATCCTTAGCTTGATTTGAGTGAGTCTTTCTCATTAAATATTGCCTGGGAGTTAATCCATATAACATATAAAAACTCCAAGTCACCCAGGATCTCAGGTGTTAATGCATTTTATTCAATGAGAACACATAAATCATCCTAGGAAATTTCCTTTTGATTGTCCTGCCTGGAAAGGGACTTTGGCCTAAGGTAAAGTTCTCTTATCTGGATGCTTTAATATTTGCCTGTTATTTTGTTTACCAAGAATTGCTTATTATTATTGTTTAATCCTGAAGTTTAAGATTTCGAGGAATTTATCGGTGATTGTGTCCCTGTGAGTTCTACACATTGTTAGATAACCAGAATGTTTCCAGTGGACATGTAACTCACTGAAACTAATGGCAGAAGGTGGAGGGACCATATATAATGTGTTTTTCATGTTATGTGCTTTAAACTCAGATTATACTATAGCACTTAATTTTAGTAAAAGCTACTTCAATAAATATATCAAATATATTACTTCCTGAGTTGTAGATGGACATATTACAATTGCATTTTTAGGTCTGGTTTCCCTGTTAATGGCAGTGGCATTAGAGGATAATTTCTAAAACAAGTCAGTAGTTTTATTTATAGTGACAAAAATCCCTTGGTGGGTATGAAATCAGATAGCGCTATCAAGAAATTTTAATTCGCTTTTATATGAGGGCATATTTTACTAAAATGGCAGCCGAAAGAGCCATAGCCAGGATGTTCTTCCTTGAGATAAAAGACAGTTCTTTGGAAGAATGCACTTAGAAGTAAGTGCTTTTTTCTATAGGTTAATGAGGCATTTTTGACCCCGTCTTTGTAAGAAATCAGTACAATTTTCTATAGTCTCTTTTTCTTCGATCTACTGCCTATGGTGCATAAAAAATTGGTTGCATTAAAATAGGTCCCAAATGCTTCTTTCTTCATCTCTCCAAAGGCTTGATCTTACCCAACTTGATTCAAAAATTGATTAAGTCAGGGACATACCCTATTTCTCCTGGTGGATTCTGACTCCAGAGAGTTCTCATAAATGTGGAATTCAGTGCTTCAAATGTTGGGTACATAAGAATTAATTCTATATAGTTTATTTACCCTCTATATGTAAAACTATATATTTCTTTCAAAGTGGTCCCTAGTCATCAGGATTACTTTTAAGATGGACACAAATACAGGATAATTACAGGTAACCCTAGTAATAATTCAGAATAAAATACTATTTATAGCTGACATAAAATTCCTGTCCTTCCTTATCAAACTATATAAAATAGGGATGAAATTTAAGAAAAAAAATCTGCTTCTTTGTCCAAATATGTTCTTTTTCTTCTAATTTTATTTTATAATTTATTTTTTACATTTACTTAAAATGTAAAGTCAGCAAAATCTAGTTATAAGGATACTGATATTTATCTTTTTATTTTACTATGTATGTTAAAAATTTAAAAATTCTTCTTTTTTTTAATATAGTTTTTTGCTATAGGGTGCATATGTTCACTGGAGAGAGACAGAGGGGAAGTGAAAAATCACCTCCTGGGGGGATGGCCACACCACAATACCTTCTCTTCCATTCTCCTCTCGAGATTGTGGACATGCATACACATGTACCTGGCTTGATTTTCAAGTGGCCAGAACTGCTGTTGGCCATGTTGAAGTCTAGGGCCTTAATCACTACACCAACTGTTGGCTTCCAAAATGAATAATTCTATAAGGATCAAAAGATATTGGTGCATAAGGCAGAGGTTTTGAGAGTGAGTTAAATTCCTACTAAAGGACCATACTCTTCTGACTAAAGAAAATTGATATAACTATGGTTTCATATATGTATGGTACTTTATAATGTCACATTTGATGATAGGAAAAATATCATGCCAAAATGAACATTAGAATATGGATAATATTACTATTTCGAGGCCTTTTTTCTCATCAATTTTTAAAAACTGGATTAAAGAAGTCTAATTATTTAATCCTTTTGAAATTTCCTAGTAGTTGCCATTAGACTCACCTACAACTGCTGATAGACATTCAGCAGGTTTTTTTTTTTTTTTTAATCAGTTTTATTGAGGTACGGCAGACAAGGTATTACGTAGTCTTATAATTAGCATTTTAGGGGATATTTAATAGCTGGGATGACATTTAGAATGAACCTTGGGTAGTGGAAAAGGAAACACATTTTTATGTCATTATTTCTGAATTACAGGTATCTCTTCCACATTTATTAAAACTGCTTGCAATCAAGGTTAGTTGGCATGTCCTGAGAAAAGCAGGCACAGCTTGGTGCACTTCTGTATTAGGAGAGGGAAATGAAACTGCTAAAGCTTTGAAGGCAATAAAGTACAGTAATCAGAAGCCAAAGAAGAGGAGAGAGTTAAGTGTGAGAGTAGGGAGACATGGAGAGAAGAGTATAATTTCTCGCTGGTATGTCTTTGTATACTCTCACACCTTTCATTCCTCTTCTCATCCATTTTGGTTCCTCAAGCACAAGGGAGAAACTGCACTCTTTCTCATATTCCTCACGGTCAAATATTCTAATGGTAATGATCTTCCTGTGGGAACACAAGACAAAGGCAAAACAAATGGTTGGAGTCACACGCTCATGCTCTGGTGTCCACGAAGCAGAATGTCACCGTGATGTTATGGAGGGAGAATTGGCAGCACATGGACCCCCTGAAGTATGTAAAAGGGCATCTTGGATATTCTCAGCTGGCCCTCAGTAAGTTTTCTTGGCTAATTTCTCTCTCACACAAATTTTTCCTGTTTTGGTTAGCAGTCAGTAGGTACCCCAAATAAGGAAGGCAAAAAATGGCTTCATTTTGGCATTGCACCAACTTTTCTCCAAATGAAGGCTTGATCGTACAGCAGACCTGTGCAGAGGGACCAAAGCTGGCTGAGGTGGACACTATCGCATGCCCTGTTACATAGGTGGAGGGATGTGTGCACTATAAGTCATGTTCTCGAGTGTTCAGGCATCCAGGGGTGGCACAGGCCAGCAGAAGCTGTTGAGCTCAGCCCTGGGGCAGCTCCCCCACCTTTCTTCTCACTCATCTCCACCAGGCGGGGCTCTCCAATCTCAAGGAAGAAGGTCTTGTTTTTCTCATACTCCTCATCATCAATTACCTTGACTGATATTGTTTTGCTGAAACAGAGAAGAATAGATATTGACGAACAAGGGGAAGAGGAAGAGAAGAGAAGGAACATAGAGAAGAAGAAAGCAAGGTTAACAAATTGCACTTGTAGACAATCAACAACTGAGAACTTCTGTACTGTGAGATTTTCCTTCAGGAATGGGTATCAGATAGGTCTGAAATGTTGGAGAGGTCACCTCAAGCATCATTTCTCAGTTTAAGATGATAGAAATATTTTGGACAACATACCACACTCAGTATTAATAGGTTTGTCAACATCATGGGAAAGAAAGGCAGAAAAACAGATTGCAGTAATAAGAGAAGAAAGACATGTTTATTTAGTCAATACCTTAACCATTGGGAAGTTTGAACTGTGCCCTGGAATTCACTCTTATAGAAAAAAAATCAATAAGTGACATTAAAATAGATATTCAGAGAGGTTATCTCTGAGTGATAGGCTTGTGGGTCTAGTTTTCCTTCATTGGACCTTATTGTATCTCCAAACATAATGTTTTTTTCATCATAAAATGTTATTAAACTAATAAAGTAATAAGGGCATTGCAAAAGAAAATATAAGCATTTTATCTTACCCCACCCAATGTCCTAGAATCAAATTCTTAAACAAGTTCATCATATTTTTCACCTAGACCACAACAGGAAGTCGATCATGTTTTGTTTGCCTTTCTAAAGATGAAGCTGTGGCCTCACAACATCTGTTTTGAAAGCGGGATGGCAGGCGGGGGGGAGTCATGACGTGGTAGTTATTTTCATCTCTCCTGAAGTTGAGTTTTAACTTTAACTAAATCTGCTATTTGCACTACTTTCAAATTCTACTGACATCAACACATTTCAATAAGAATTCTTCTTGTAATCCAACCTTGAGCAGATTTTGCCCTGTGGTTCTATGGCTGTGAGTGACTGACAAGCAGGTAGGACAAATGCAAATATTATGCAAATCCCACCTTTCTGTAAGCAGCTTGATGACTCTGAAAATAAATCAATCTAATGTTACTTTGTAATTAATAATGGCTTAAATACTTCATATATCACAACTAATTCAGAAGCCCCTAAACACTGATTTGTCCTTGAAAATTTTTTTAACAATAATATTGGTCAAGAACATTTCTGGTTCAAGTTTCTGAAACAATGAATTTGTGGACAAAATGTTTTAATAGCATGGGCATTATTTAATTTTGGTGGATTTTTCTAGTTACTTAGGAAGGAAATTTGTTTATAATCTTGTTTTTATTTAATACAATTTTTAAAGGAATTGTTATTTTATTTAACTTTATTTATTTATTTATATTTTAATTTGAATAGAGAGGGACAAAGAGAGAAGGTGAGAAAGCAAGCCTCCAGGTCTGGGACTCGAACTGCAGTCGGCCAGTGGGAGTCCAGTGCCCTTTACCACCACACCACCTGCCTACCCCTATAATCTTGCTTTTATTTTATTGGGTAAAATAAACAAGTTTCATGCAGACATGTGCCTGCTAAAGAGCATGTCTTCTTCCCTGGTACATAGAGACATAGGTAAAAGCTACTTTTAATTCTCTGAATTTTCTAGTCCCTAATGGCAATAGTCTTGGCTTCTTGGCTTATCAGTGTTGTAGTGAGATCAACTGAGTAGTTCTGGTCTTTCAAGACCCATACTGCATTCTCTGTTCCTCAGCTAAAGAACATCTCTGCATGATGCTCACATCCCAGTTTCTCTCTTAAAAAATTGTAGCTTATGAAAGTGCCTCTTCTATCTCAGCTCTGTCCTCAAAGACTGAAATACTAACACTGAATGAACAGCTATAAATTACTACAGTAACAATAATTTTTTAGAGTAGTTAGATATTTTACAAAACTACCAACAGCATGACAAAATCCAATTACATGTATATAATGAACGGTTCCTGCCTAATTTTTTAGAACTATTTTATTAAATTCATTTACTTACTAAGTATGTATGTATATATGTGTGTGTGAGTATGTGTGTGTATATATATTTATATATATTTATTTATGTAAACAAAACTAAAAAATAGCCTATCTTTTTTTTCCTGACTAAACCAGAATATTTAATTTTTTCATTAATATCCAAAATATTAGAATAAGCACAAGAGGACAACAAGAATGATGACATATGCACTTTCAATTTCAGAACTCAATTTGAGGTTACTCATAAGATCAAATTCACCCTATAAAGAACTACCAAATGTCTCTTCTTATCCATCAAAACCTACGTGTTATGGGTTTTAAGTATGAGTTTCTATCTTACAGTCTTGAAATCTTAAACTACAGTTGTATATCGCTATTAAAACAATTAGCATATTGAGACCAAGGGTGAGAAAGTGTTGGTGGGCCTTAGAAGGGCCATGCTACCATCCCCTGTTCCTGATGGCCCCACATTCATTATCGCGGCACTTCATTGCAGAGCATACACCTCAACTAGAACCCTCCCACCATGAAACAGTCATTGTTACAATATTCTTGTTTATATGTCTCCATTTTATATTCCCAACTCAGCCTACATCTCATTAGAGAGAGACAGAGACAGAGGGAGAGAGGGAAAGTCAGAAGTCACAACCCAGGTTATGGCCTCGCTGCAATCCCTTCTTGTCCATTCTCCTCTGCGGATATGGGCATGCATGCACCATGACATGCGTTGCATTTTTTTCAGGCTACTGAGTCCTGGATTCAAACTGCACAGTTGGCCATGGGGACTCAGCCACCCTAACTTCCATGCCATCTCCTGGTCCTAGAGTAACATTAATAGAGTGAATGTCCCTGTAGGAGAGGTACCTGTTTCATGCCCACAGTGAAATGTGACAACTTACTCACAAATAAATAGGAGCAAGCCAACAACATATTTTTTCTTATCCTTGGTGAATACCTAGAATTTACTCTTCTATTGCTATAATTGCTTTTGTCCCCCTATACTCTGAATAGCTGATGAGTGTGAGAAATATGCAACATCTCCACACAATTTGTTTGTATGACGCAATAAGCATTTGTAATTTATCATTGGCATATCATTATTACTAGGCTCATAACCTTAGAAAATATGTTAGTACCTGATAACTGTGATACTAGCAAATCAAAGCCGAAGAAAAGATAAAAATACTTTGTAGGTGCCTAGCAGAGACATCTAAAATAGATGAAATTTGCATAATGGCATATCATTTCAAAGTCATTAGTAATAGAATCAATAATGCCCCGACAGGAGAAGTCATTAAATTATATATTGATTTAATTCTTCTTGCACAGTAAAGCAATTAATAGAAAATTTGATTATTAACGGACATTTCTGTCAATCTCAAGTAGTAGGATAAAATTAGTCTTTGTGAGTTATCCCTCTAATTTCAGAGAGGCAAAAATCAGAGGGCATTACTAATGTTCACTTTTTGCTTCAGAATAGGGCCCTTTCTCCCTCTAGAAAAGGTAGTAAAGGTGAAATTAACCAATGTAATTTTTATTTTTTTGAGAGGTTTTCACTATAGGGCGCATGCACTTGCCAGAAAAAGAGAGAGAGAGAGAGAGAGAGAGAGAGAGAGAGAGAAAGCGAGAAAACACCCCAGGGGGGGGGGACACGCTGCAATTCCTTCTCCTCCAGTCTCCTCTCAGGATCTTGGGTACGCACGCACATGCGCCCAGCGCGAGTTTAAGCCACCGGGTCCGGGACTCAAACTGCAGTCAGCTACGTGGGAGTTCAGCGACATAGCCATTACGCTAACTGCTGGTCCCCAGTGTAATATTTAAGAGTACACATTCTTGAGATGCTTTCTCACGTTCCAGAAAAAGAATGTATACTGTAAAGACATGTAATTAAGTGTAAATAAATTTAAAAATAATAAATAAATAAATAAGTGAAAAAGCCCGCTAACACTTCGTCTAAGGGAGATTCCAGGAGGTGGGATTGGTCTGAAGACTTCAGTGACATTGACTTGGAAATCAGCAGATGAATGCCCTTCCTCCTCACAGATCTACTGTACAAGAAAAATGTGAAGGACCGAAAAGAGCACAAAGCTCCTCCAATCAGCCTCATTGCCACATCAATCTCATTATCATAGGGTGTTGGCATTGTCACAACAACTCCATCTTTCTGAGAATAAAAATCCACATTGGTTGTCTTGTTCTGTTTCCTAATCAAATAACTATTATTACTTTCAATTGACAGGTTAACAAAAACAAGTCTGGAGCACCTTGAGTGGATGTGGCCTTTCATTCAAATCAACTCTTGCACTGTTATTGCAGTGATAAGGAGCAAATAGAAAAACTGGTGTCATGTAATAATTTTCAACTATTGTAATTCCTATAAAGAAGATAAGGATAACTTGCTTGGCTTTTTATATATCATTTAAGTTAAATGGAATTTTTAAAAAAGGTTGAATAGTATACTATAAAAATTATGCTTTCTGGAAGTTAGCAAAGCAGTTACAAATCTTAAGAGATAACATTAAAATATTTCTTGATATGGCAAAACATTTAATGGAAGTACATTTTGGTTCTACATTTAGAAAAGAAAAGTTGATTAAAAAATGGTCAGTTTATCTAGTGGAAAACTACAGATCATTCTTTTTTATTTTTTTCAACGTCTTTCATGAGATGACACCAAACAAACATCTCTATTTTTCAGTCTCTTTTTCTTAACTGACGAGTCTCAAAGGACTGAATACCTTCCAATAGTTGAACAAGGAGTCCTTCTACATGGTTGTGACTCAGGCAGACAGCAGGAAAAGAAAGAGGTGGCCTTATTAATGGGAGCCGAAAAAGAAAATCTTTTCAAAATACATTTTAGTGTTTTATTGTTAAGCCGAAGGGGTATCAAAGTTCCTTTTTCTTTTTCTTTTTTTTTTTGGGGGGGGGGAGAGAATTTTGCTACAGGGCGCATGCGCTCGCCAGACAGACAGAGAGACAGAAAACGAGAAATCACCCTCCAGGGGGGATGGCCATGCCACAATCCCTTCTCCTCCATTCTCCTCTCGGGATTTTGGGCACGCATGCACACGTGCCCGGCATGAGTTTA